GAACGGCGGCGGGGCGACGGGGATGGCCCGATCCGATCTGGATCGGATGAGAGAGAGAGACGAGGGAGTGGGGAGGTGGTTGCGGTCGTGGGGAGTGGGGGCGTTAGGGTTTCGGGGCATGGGGGTGGGGTGGCCTATAGGCCAGGGGATGGCCGGCTGGGCCACGGCCTAGTTGGGCCAAGGGTCCAGTGGGGGGGGGGTCTTTCTTCCTCTTTTTTTTGTTAGTTTTCTTTTCTGGTTTTGTGTTTCCTTTTCTTTCTATTTATTTTCTTTTTGTTTTTATTTTACTTTCTTTTAAGTTTACTTTTTTACTTAATATTAAAATGATCCCTAAATTAGTAATACCATGAAACCACTGCCACAAAAGGTTTTATCCAAAAACAATTTAGTTTAGTTTTTTATTTATTTATAAAAGCATTTAAATATCGGTTTTGCTACTGTTTTATTCATTTTAGAATAATTACACATTTTATAAGAGTGTGGTTCCTCCACCATAATTACCTATGTATTATTTGGTTCACTCCGAACATTTAAATTTTAATATTTGAAAACTTTTATTGTTTGCCTATATTTTAAATTTTAATTTGAATCGTTTTTGAACTAACTCGAGATTAGCAACTATAATCGAGGTGACGTGGCATCCCTAGCAGAGGAACACTGTAGTTTAATTACCCGGGCGTCACACGACCGCTCATACGAGCGGGCGCGGTCGCATGGAACGTTGTCTTTTAATCTGTTTTTTTGGTGCGCCTCCCACTTGATCCACTCTATAACCACTTTATCCCTTTCCAAGTATTGACTTGATTTCGTCCATATATAGGCCATTTATCGTGGAAACAAAAAAAGAAGGATTTTTGGAATCTTATGCATTCATTAGTCATTAGTGGCAATATCAGAGGGAGTATCTCAGTTTTAATGAAATATATCGGTTTAAACTCAGGTTGGAGGAGTGTAAAAATAACACTCATCAAATCCCCCAAGTTTAAACTTGATCATCCTCGAGAAATATAGAGAGAAATCCGAATCATGAGGAACTCAATTGTTTAAACCGAAATGAGGAGAAGATTTTGATTCACTTACGATCGATACGCCTAGATAGCCCTCTGCTTCTTGACCTGAAAACTAAGTATAGTTGTAGAGGTGACAACATTATTATGCAAGTGTTAGTAAAGCAAAGAACTGTCGGTACAGCCAGATGGCAAACCTAACTATCAACTACTTAATGTAGTGATTAGGTACAAAAATTGTATATGGATTGGCAAGCATTCAGATTTTCATATGAAATTTTTCTTCACTTTTCATGAGAGTCCTTTGGAAGGACAATCTGGATTTCCTATTACTTATAAAAGAATCGAGTCTCTGTTCAAATGGTAATGTATGAAATTTTTTATTAAAGAGCAAGTGCAGTCTTGTTTGATATGTTACCAAGCTAAGGCTAAGAGAGTTAATTATCCTCAGTTGCTATCACCTTTGCCCGTTCCAAAAAACGCTTGGGACACTATTGTTAGGTTACGTAGCAGAAATTCAAAATTTTCCTATGTGTCACCAAGATCTATCTATGGAGAAACCAGCAACGAGGGGAAGGAGAGTGCATCTACATACCCTTGTAGATCGCTAAGTGGAAGCGTTCAAGAGAACGGGGTTGAAGGAGTCGTACTCGTCGTGATCCAAATCACCGGAGATCCTAGTGCCGAACGGACGGCACCTCCGTGTTCAACACACGTACAGCCCGGGGATGTCTCCCGTGCCTTAATCCAGCAAGGAGAGAGGGAGAGGTTGAGGAATACTCCATCCAGCAGCAGCACAACGGCGTGGTGGTGATGGAGGAGCGTGGCTATCCTGCAGGGCTTCGCCAAGCACCGCGGGAGAGGAGGAAGGAGAGATGCAGGGCTGCGTCATATAGAGGAGAGGAACTCATCTCGTGTTCTGTGCAGCCCCAAGACCTCCACTATATATAGGGGCAAGGGGGAGGGGGAGGCGCCCTAGGGTTTCCCTTAGGGGGGGCGGCGGCCAGGGCAGATGGGATCTCCCCCTTGGGTGACTTGGCCCCCAAGCCAGGAGGTGGGAACCCTAGATGGGGCGCCCCAAACCCCCTGGTCACGTGGGATTAGGTGAGGGGGGCGCACAACCCCTTAGTGGGCTGGTTTGCCCCCTTCCCTTGGCCCATGAAGCCCCCCAACACTTGCCGAGGCTCCCGAAACACCTTTCGGTCATGCTGGTCATCACCCGGTACCTCCGGAACACTCCCGGACTCCAAAACCCTTCGTCCAATATATCAATCTTTACCTCCGGACCATTCCGGAGCACCTCGTGACGTCCGGGATCTCATCCGGGACTCCGAACAACATTCGGTAACCACATACGAGCTTCCTTTATAACCCTAGCGTCATCGAACCTTAAGTGTGTAGACCCTACGGGTTCGGGAGACATGCAGACATGACCGAGAAGTTCTCTGGTCAATAACCAACAGCGGGATCTGGATACCCATGTTGGCTCCTACATGTTCCACGATGATCTCATCGGATGAACCACGATGTCAAGGACTTAATCAATCCCGTATACAATTCCCTTTGTCTAGCGGTACGATACTTGCCCGAGATTCGATCGTCGGTATCCGGATACCTTGTTCAATCTCGTTACCGGCAAGTCTCTTTACTCATTCCGTAACACATCATCCCGTGATCAACTCCTTGATCACATTGTGCACATTATGATGATGTCCTACCGAGTGGGCCCAGAGATACCTCTCCGTCACACGGAGTGACAAATCCCAGTCTCGATTCGTGCCAACCCAACAGACACTTTCGGAGATACCCGTAGTGCACCTTTATAGTCACCCAGTTACGTTGTGACGTTTGGCACACCCAAAGCACTCCTACGGTATCCGGGAGTTGCACAATCTCATGGTCTAAGGAAATGATACCTGACATTAGAAAAGCTTTAGCATACGAACTACACGATCTAGTGCTATGCTTAGGATTGGGTCTTGTCCATCACATCATTCTCCTAATGATGTGATCCCGTTATCAATGACATCTAATGTCCATGGTCAGGAAACCGTAACCATCTATTGATCAACGAGCTAGTCAACTAGAGGCTTACTAGGGACATGGTGTTGTCTATGTATCCACACATGTATCTGAGTTTCCTTTCAATACAATTCTAGCATGGATAATAAACGATTATCATGAACAAGGAAATATAATAATAATCAATTTATTATTGCCTCTAGGGCATATTTCCAACAGTCTCCCACTTGCACTAGAGTCAATAATCTAGTTCACATCGATATGTGATTAACACTCAAGGTCACATCCCCATGTGACTAACATCCAAAGAGTTTACTAGAGTCAATAATCTAGTTCACATCACTATGTGATTAGCACTCAATGAGTTCTGGGTTTGATCATGCTGCTTGTGAGAGAGGTTTTAGTCAACGGGTCTGAACCTTTCAGATCCGTGTGTGCTTTACTAATCTCTATGTCATCTCCTAGATGTAGCTACCACGTTCTATTTGGAGCTATTCCAAATAACTGTTCTACTTGGAGAAATTCTAAATTGTTGCTCCATTATACGTATCCGGTATCTCTACTCAGAGCTATCCGGATAGGTGTTAAGCTTGCATCGACGTAACCCTTTACGACGAACTCTTTTACCACCTCCATAATCGAGAAAATTCCTTAGTCCACTAGTTACTAAGGATAACTTTGACCGCTGTCCTGTGATCCATTCTTGGATCACTCTTGTACCCCTTGACTGACTCATGGCAAGGCACACTTCAGGTGCGGTACACAGCATAGCATACTGTAGAGCCTATGTCTTAAGCATAGGGGACAACCTTCGTCCTTTCTCTCTATTCTGCCGTGGTCGAGCATTAAGTCTTAACTTCATACCTTAAAACTCAGGCAAGAACTCCTTCTTTGACTGATCCATCTTGAACACCTTCAAGATTATGTCAAGGTATGTGCTCATTTGAAAGTACCATTAAGCGTTTTGGTCTATCCTTATAGATCTTGATGCTCAATGCTCAAGTAGCTTAATCCAGGCTTTCCATTGAAAAACACTTTCCAAATAACCTTATATGCCTTCCAGAAATTCTACGTCATTTCTGATCAACAATATGTCAACAACATATATTCATCAGAAATTCTATAGTGCTCCCACTCCCTTCTTTGGAAATACAAGTTTCTCATAAACTTTGTGTACACCCAAAATCTTTGATCATCTCATCAAAGCATGCATTCCAACTCCGAGATGCTTACTCCAGTCCTTAGAAGGATTGCTGGGGCTTTGCATACTTATTAGCATCTTTCAGGATTGACAAAACCTTTCGGTTGTATCACATACAACCTTTCCTCAAGAAAATCGTCGAGGAAACAATGTTTTAACATCCTATCTGCAAGATTTCATAAATAATGCAGTAATCGCTAATATAATTCCAACAGACTCTTAGCATCGCTACGGGTGAGAAAGTCTCATCGTAGTCAACTCCTTGAACTTGTCGGGAAACTTCTTAACGACAAGTCGAGCTTTCTTAATGGTGACATTTACCATCATTGTCCGTCTTCCTTTTAAAATCCATCTGTACTCAACAGCCTTATGACCATCGAGTTGTTCTGCCAAAGTCTACACTTTGTTTTCATATATGGACCCTCTCTCGGATTATATGGCCTCGAGCCATTTATCGGAATCCGGGCCCACCATCGCTTCTCCATGGCTCGTAGGTTCATTGTTGTCTAGCAACATGACTTCCAAGACAGGATTACGTACCACTCTGAAGTAGTACGCATCCTTGTTATCCCGCGAGGTTTGGTAGTGACTTGATCTGAAGTTTCATGATCACTATCATAAGCTTCCACTTCAACTGGTTTAGGTGCCACAGGAACAACTCCCTGTGCCCTGTCACACACTGGTTGAAGTGACGGTTCAAAAACCTCGTCAAGTCTCCACCATCCTCCCACTCAATTCTTTCGAGAGAAACTTTTCCTCGAGAAAGGACCCGATTCCAGAAACAATCCCTTATTGCTTTCGGATCTGAGACAGGAGGTATACCCAACTGTTTTGGGTGTCCTATGAAGATGCATTTATCCGCTTTGGGTTCGAGCTTATCAGCCTGAAACTTTTTCACATAAGCGTCGCAGCCCCAAACTTTTAAGAAATGACAGCTTAGGTTTCTCTAAACCATAGTTCATACGGTGTCATCTCATCGGAATTACGTGGTGCCCTATTTAAAGTGAATGTGGTTGTCTCTAATGCCTAACCCATAAACTATCGTGGTAATTTGATAAGAGACATCATGGTATGCATCATATCCAATAGGGTGCAGTTATGATGTTCGGACACACCATCACACTATGGTGTTTCCAGGCTGTTTTAGTTGTGAAACAATTTCCACAATGTCTTAATTTTGTGCCAAACTCGTAATTCAGATATTCATCTCTATGATCATATCATAGATATTTTATCCTCTTGTCACGACGATCTTTCAACTTCACCCTGAAATTACTTGAACCTTTCAATAATTCAGACTCGTGATTCATCGAGTAAATATACTCAACATCTACTCAAATCTTCTGTGAAGTAAGAACATAACGATATCCACTACACGCCTCAGCACTCATTGGACTGCACACATCAAAATGTACTACTTCCAACAAGTTGCTTTCTAGTTCCACTTTACTGAAACCGAGGCTTTCAGTCATCTTACCCATGTGGTATGATTTGCATGTCTCAAGTGATTCAAAATCAAGTGAGTCCAAACGATCCATCTGTATAGAGTTTCTTCATGCATATCTACCAACAAACATGGTTCACATGTCTCAATTCTTTCAAAAATGAGTGAGTCCAAAGATCCATCAACATGGAGCTTCTTCATGCGTTTTATACCGATATGACTTAAGTGGCAGTGCCACAAGTAGGTGGTACTATCATTACTATCTTATATCTTTTGGCATGAACATGTGTATCACTACGATTGAGATTCATTAAACCATTCATTTTAGGTGTAAGACCATTGAAGGTATTATTCAAATAAACAGAGTAACAATTATTCTCCTTAAATGAATAACCGTATTGCTATAGTCATAATCCAATCATGTCTATGCTCAACGCAAACACCAAATAACAATTATTTAGGTTTAACACTAATCTCGATGGTAGAAGGAGCGTGCGATGCTTGATCATATCAACATTGGAAACACTTCCAACACATATCGTCAACTCACCTTTAGCTAGTCTCCGTTTAATCCGTAGCTTTTATTTCGAGTTACTAACACTTAGCAACTGAACAGGTATCTAATACCCTGGTGCTACTAGGAGTACTAGTAAAGTACACATTAACATAATGTATATCCAATATACTTCTATCAACCTTGCCAGCCTTCTTATCTACCAAGTATCTAAGGTAATTCTGCTCTAGTGGCTGTTCCCTTTATTACAGAAGCACTTAGTCTCGGGTTTGGGTTCAACCTTGGGTTTCTTCACTAGAGCAGCAGCTGATTTGCCGTTTCATGAAGTATCCCTTCTTGCCCTTGCCCTTCTTGAAACTAGTGGTTTCACTAACCATCAACAATTGATGCTCCTTCTTGATTTCTACTTTCGCGGTGTCAAACATTGCGAATATTTCAAGGATCATCATATATGTCCCTGATATACTATAGTTCATCACGAAGCTCTAGCAGCTTGGTGGTAATGACTTCGGAGAAACATCACTATCTCATCTGGAAGATCAACTCCCACTCGATTCAAATGATTGTTGTACTCAGACAATCTGAGCACAAGCTCAACAATTGAGATTTTTCTCCCTTAGTTTGTAGGCTAAGAAAATCGTCGGAGGTCTTATACCTCTTGACGTGGGCACGAGCCTGAAATCCCAATTTCAGCCCTCAAAACATCTTATATGTTTCGCGATGTTTCAAAACGTCTTCGGTGCCTCAACTCTAAACCGTTTAACTGAACTATCACGTAGTTATCAAAACGTGTATGTCAGATGTTCGCAACATCCACAGACAACGTTCGAGGTTCAGCACACTGAGCGGTGCATTAAGGACATAAGCCTTCTATGAAGCAATGAGGACAATCCTCAGTTTACGGACCTAGTCCGCATAATTGCTACTTACAACTTTCAACTAAATTTTTTCTCTAGGAACATATCTAAACAGTAGAACTGAAGCGCGAGCTACGACATAATTTGCGAAGACCTTTTTGACTATGTTCAGGATAATTAAGTTCATCTTATGAACTCCCACTCAGATAGACATCCCTCTAGTCATCTAAGTGATTACATGATCCGAGTCAACTAGGCCGTGTCCGATCATCACGTGAGACGGACTAGTCAACATCGGTGAACATCTTCATGTTGATCGTATCTTCTATATGACTCATGCTCAACCTTTCGGTCTTCTGTGTTCCGAGGCCATGTCTGCACATGCTAGGCTCGTCAAGTCAACCTAAGTGTTTGCATGTGTAAATCTGTCTTACACCCGTTGTATGTGAACATTTGAATCAAACACCCGATCATCACGTGGTGCATTGAAACAACGAACTGTCGCAACGGTGCACAGTTAGGGGGAACACTTTCTTGAAATTTTAATGAGGGATCATCTTATTTACTACCGTCGTTCTAAGCAAATAAGATGTATAAACATGATAAACATCACATGCAATCAAATAGTGACATGATATGGCCAATATCATATTGCTCCTTTTGATCTCCATCTTCGGGGCTCCATGATCATCAACATCACCGGCATGACACCATGATCTCCATCATCGTGTCTTCTTGAAGTTGTCATGTCATCTATTACTTCTACTACTACAGCTAACGGTTAGCAATAAAGTAAAGTAATTACATGACGTTTATGTTGACACGCAGGTCATAAATAAATTAAGACAACTCCTATGTCTCCTGCCGGTTGTCATACTCATCGACATGCAAGTCGTGATTCCTATTACAAGAACATGATCAATCTCATACATCACATATATCATTCATCACATCCTTTGGCCATATCACATCACATAGCATACCCTGTAAAAACAAGTTAGACGTCCTCTAATTGTTGTTTGCATGTTTTACGTGGCTGCTATGGGTTTCTAGCAAGAACGTTTCTTACCTACGCAAAAACCACAACGTGATATGCCAATTGCTATTTACCCTTCATAAGGACCCTTTTCATCGAATCCGTTCCGACTAAAGTGGGAGAGACAGACACCCGCCAGCCACCTTATGCAACTAGTGCATGTCAGTCGGTGGAACCGGTCTCACGTAAGCGTATGTGTAAGGTTGGTCCGGGCCGCTTCATCCCACGATGCCGTCGAAAAAAGATTGGACTAGTAACGGTAAGCATATTGAACAAAATCAACGCCCACAACTACTTTGTGTTCTACTCGTGCATAGTAACTACGCATAGACCTAGCTCATGATGCCACTGTTAGGTTACGTAGCAGAAATTCAAAATTTTCCTACGTGTCACCAAGATCTATCTATGGAGAAACCAGCAACGAGGGGAAGGAGAGTGCATCTACATACCCTTGTAGATCGCTAAGCGGAAGCGTTCAAGAGAACGGGGTTGAAGGAGTCGTACTCGTCGTGATCCAAATCACCGGAGATCCTAGTGCCGAACGGACGGCACCTCTGTGTTCAACACACGTACAGCCCGGGGACGTCTCCCGTGCCTTGATCCAGCAAGGAGAGAGGGAGAGGTTGAGGAAGACTCCATCCAGCAGCAGCACAACGGCGTGGTGGTGATGGAGGAGCGTGGCTATCCTGCAGGGCTTCGTCAAGCACCGCGGGAGAGGAGGAAGGAGAGATGCAGGGCTGCGTCATATAGAGGAGAGGAACTCATCTCGTGTTCTGTGCAGCCCCAAGACCTCAACTATATATAGGGGCAAGGGGGAGGGGGAGGCGCCCTAGGGTTTCCCCTAGGGGGGCGGCGGCCAGGGCAGATGGGATCTCCCCCTTGGGTGACTTGGCCCCCAAGCCAGGAGGTGGGAACCCTAGATGGGGCGCCCCAAACCCCCTGGTCACGTGGGATTAGGTGAGGGGGGCGCACAGCCCCTTAGTGGGCTGGTTTGCCCCCTTCCCTTGGCCCATGAAGCCACCCCAACACTTGACGGGGCTCCCGAAACACCTTTCGGTCATGCTGGTCATCACCCGGTACCTCCGGAACACTCCCGGACTCCAAAACCCTTTGTCCAATATATCAATCTTTACCTCCGGACCATTCCGGAACTCCTCGTGACGTCCGGGATCTCATTCGGGACTCCGAACAACATTCGGTAACCACATACGAGCTTCCTTTATAACCCTAGCGTCATCGAACCTTAAGTGTGTAGACCCTACGGGTTCGGGAGACATGCAGACATGACCGAGACGTTCTCCGGTCAATAACCAACAGTGGGATCTGGATACCCATGTTGGCTCCTACATGTTCCACGATGATCTCATCGGATGAACCACGATGTCAAGGACTTAATCAATCCCGTATACAATTCCCTTTGTCTAGCGGTACGATACTTGCCCGAGATTCGATCGTCGGTATCCCGATACCTTGTTCAATCTCGTTACCGGCAAGTCTCTTTACTCGTTCCGTAACACGTCATCCCGTGATCAACTCCTTGATCACATTGTGCACATTATGATAATGTCCTACCGAGTGGGCCCAGAGATACCTCTCCGTCACACGGAGTGACAAATCCCAGTCTCGATTCGTGCCAACCCAACAGACACTTTTGGAGATACCCGTAGTGCACCTTTATAGTCACCCAGTTACGTTGTGACGTTTGGCACACCCAAAGCACTCCTACAGTATCCGGGAGTTGCACAATCTCATGGTCTAAGGAAATGATACTTGACATTAGAAAAGCTTTAGCATACGAACTACACGATCTAGTGCTATGCTTAGGATTGGGTCTTGTCCATCACATCATTCTCCTAATGATGTGATCCCGTTATCAATGACATCTAATGTCCATGGTCAGGAAACCGTAACCATCTATTGATCAACGAGCTAGTCAACTAGAGGCTTACTAGGGACATGGTGTTGTCTATGTATCCACACATTTATCTGAGTTTCCTTTCAATACAATTCTAGCATGGATAATAAACGATTATCATGAACAAGGAAATATAATAATAATCAATTCATTATTGCCTCTAGGGCATATTTCCAACAACTATTACCATGGATTGTATAACAGGACTGCCCCATCTTGCCAGTTTGATTGTATTCTAGGGGGTCATTAACAAGTTTATTTCATATGGGCATTTCTTGTCACTCAAGCATCCTTACTGTGCTCGAGAAGTGGCTGAAACTTTTCTGGATAATATCTCCAAGCTTCATGGTATGCCAGCTCTTATAATCTCTGATGGTGATCCAATTTTCGCTAGTGCTTTTTGGCAAAGTTTGGTCACAAGAACATGAGCCACTCTCAACATGAGCTCTGCCTATCATCTGCTACTGATGGTCAAACAGAGAGGGTGAATCAACATGTGGAAGGTTACCTAAGATGTTTTATTAGTGCCCATCTACTAAATGGAAAAACAAACTTTCCATGTGTGAATTTTGGTATAACAACAATTGACATTCTACAATGGGCAAGTCTCACTTTAAAGTTCTGTATGGTCACTCTCCTAGATATTTTTGCATCTCAGCTTTTGATACATTGGAGCCAATAGATGTTCAACTTCGGTTGGAAGAGAGACAAGTACTGCATGACTCTGCCAGACAACAACTCCTTCGTACCCAGCAGCGAATGAAGGAATATGCATGCAAGCATATAACAGATCAAACATTTCTTCCTGGAGAGTTGGTGTTTCTGAAGTTGCAGCCGTACTACAGTCATTGGTGGTACACCGCGCGGATCATAAGCTTTCGTTCATGTTTTATGGTCCCTATAAAGTGCTTGCTCGCATTTGCGAAGTTGTTTATCGTCTGGACCTTCCTGAAGGCAGCAAGATACATCCAGTCTTCCACATTTCTTAGTTGAAATGCTTTTCCAAGCTAGTTTATGAGGTTTGACTGGTTCTACCTTCTTCGTCCTCTCATTGCAGGTTCCTCGTAAGATTATTTAGAAGCGTTTTCGCCAATCTTGGTGCCGCACTATTGTGCAAGGCTTGATTGCATGGAGTGATTGTTCACCTGATGATGCGACATGGGAAGATTTGGTGGCAGTAAAGCAGCAGTTCCCTCGTGCCTCGGCTTGGGGACAAGCCTCGACTGAAGGAAGGGGATGTCGGCATACCCAATGTCACCGCTTCTGAACCTGACGGCACCGACGGTGACTTATCTGAGGACGTTGTTTCTGATCCAGTTGTTGTCGACAATGCATCTATTGGTGGAGAGAAGGAAGGCCATCCGAAGTCTACAAGGCCCGTAAGGCTACCACAATGGCTGGCCAGCCTAAGCTGGGCCCATTAGCTTTCGATTCGTGTACTTGCCATTGTGTTATTTGTTATGTTTTGGCTAGGATTTGAGAAGTGAGGGAGGTTGGGCGGAAAAGCTTCCACCGAATTCAAATTCTAGATCAAGATCCATGGCGTGTGTGGGTTAACCAGAGGGTAGCTCACACTCTTTTTAACAGAAGTGTGCTCCTCCTCGATGATCATACTCAAGCGTGGTTCCTACGGCTTTAGTTTGATGGCGCATCTGCATGACCAAAAGTAAGTAAAAAATGATTCAGGGAATTTCGTCGTCATTTTGATCGAAATTCAAGTCAACTATTGGAACCACGTTACCTACAAGAAAAAAAACTATTGGAACCACGAGTAGTCCGTTAAGTTAACCTTACTATAATCGAGCAATCAGTGTGCTTGATCAAATTTCTTAGAAAACAGAGTCAACTGGAGAATAATTTGACTAACAATGGACCAATCCCTGAATTCTCGTCACATATGCAAACAAAAACTGTGCAGTACCAGTCAATTAATTAATCTTGGGGCTACAAAATTACGCTCCATCATAGCAATCGATTACAGATAGAATCTGCATGCTTCATCGAGACTCGATCAACCAGATACAACATACAATTACGTAATACTAAGCTTTCTCAGATCACCGGGGTGTCTATCAATTCGATCACCGCACCAAAAAAACCAAGAAAGGCCGCACAAACTAGGTAGAACCATAGAAGCAAAGGCGCGCGTAGCGATCCTACGCAACAACATGCGGCGACCTAAAGCACCTGATGAGGTGCGGAAGTCGGAAGTGGTGATGGTGATGGTGTCGTTCTTGGGCCCTCGCCGCGTTGACCGCCCTCTGGAACCGCTCCACACTGCAGGGGACGACAATGGCGCCTTTGTGCACGTACCCGTACTTCTCCCACGCCTCGGCGAGCAGCTCGACTATAGCGGGGTGCCCGAGTAGCGTCACCGACACCACGAACCGCTGCCGAGCCTCGCCGTCGTTGCCCACGAAGAACGCCGCACACCCCTTGGTCATACGTGCCGCCTGGCCGTGGCTAGACGATTCTTGGCCCTGCTTGGTCTTTCCGGTCTTCATGGTGACGCTGTTGCTATCGCTCCGTAGGAAGTTCGTACCTAAAGTGTTGGGAGGAGCTGGCTTTATATAGTTCTTCGGAGAGGAACTTCTTGCGAGTAAGGAGCCGTGCTGGGAGACGGACCGAAACATACGCGGTTTGGTTATTGAAGTGGGATTATGCATGATTACTTACCATCGTGTTAGAGGAGAAGTCCCTCTCATGCTTCTCTTAGATTGTTTCCGAGGGCTTATTGGATCTGCATCCCAAAGCCCCACGGAGCAGAGGTATGTGTTGGATTTTTTTGTCTCTTCAAATTTGTTGAATATATGTGTACGTGTATATTGTGTCTTGGGTTCACCTCCTAGTTTATCTGTATAGTTGAGGTAGTGGCCTCCCTTTGTACTTATGTATACGTGCTTGGTGCACCGATCAATGCATTGTGTTTGCACAGTCTATTCTACGTGGTGTCTATTGCAGGCCGATCGACCTAACCCTAAGCCGCCGCCGCCGCCGCGCGTCCTCCGCGCCGCCGCCGCTTTCCCACCGCCGCCGTCGCCGCCGCACGCCCTTCGCGCCACCGTGGCCGCTGCCCCCACCCACCTCCCTCCGTCGCCACCCGTCACTGCTGCCGCCGCGGTCTTCCGCGCCGCCGCCACTCCCTCCGGTCGCCGCTGCACCCCTCCTGCTTCCGCAACCTCCCTCCCAAACCCGTGCCCTCTCCCACCCACCAAACCCCCACCCGCGCCTCCCGAACCCTAGCAGCCCCCACCCGCGCCGCCCGAACCCTCACTACTAGGGAAATCCTTATACACAGAATCTTAGCAGCTGCGAGGTTTAAAAACAAGGGTTTTTATCATTTATGCCAAGTAACGCACAAGAGCCCGTGCGTTGCAACGGGGACATACTTCGCTATGAAGCAAACAAAATATCCATGGATCATTCCAGCCTGAACGTTCTCACTGAAGAATTACATCATGGGGGCATGATAGCCGAAGGATCGGCTGACATTCGGGGTTCCTGTTCGCGGATGGCATGGCATGGATCATAGTGCACACGGCCAATGACAACACAAGGATGACTGACAATATCAGGAGGTTGAGGGAATCCGGATGAGTGGATGGTTGTGAGTAATTGAAATTTTTCTCACTGAGTGCGACATAGGTTTGCGGTGGTCAGTGTAGATTGAACGGTGAAATTCATCATCTATGATGCATGGTTCGACCTCTTCTTCGTCTGAATGGATTCTCCTTGTCGATCAATCTTTGTGAGGTGAGTTTAACAGCATTCGATGGTGACATAAGACGGCAATTTAGGTGGAGTCTGCCTACCTAGAAGAAATAGAGCAGAAGAGGAGCCGTGGTTGTTCTTCTACTTATACTTATAGGAGGAAGATTATACTTATAGGAGGAGGATAGTAACATGCACCTACGTTGTAATGAGGACATACATATTTTAGTGGTTCACATTAAACATGTGTACCATATACCTTTAAATTATCTATGGACATCAGGCAGCATTGTCAACTTATTTCTATCATTAAACCATTTTTCTTTCCAAATGATAAGTGCCACACGTGTAGCACGAAGTAACGCCCGCCCTGATGTTTTTACAACTAAAATTTCCATACGAAAAAAAAAAACGGAACCCCAACTAAAACTTGCAATCCAGACAGAAAGTTGATATGCTTCACAACTTGCCATCCCCGGGTAACTAAAGTTGCCATCAAAAAACGTCAGGACAGAATTGCTTCCTGTCACACGTATGGCACTTATCTGGATCCTTCTTCTTTATGTTCTTCTATACCTCGCTCTCGCTCTCCCTTTCAATCACACAGTAATTATCTCTAGTAATTGTGCAATTCACGTGTTGGATACTACCACTTATAAGTTAAAATAACCGGAGGCATAATATTTGGGAGCTACACCTCAGTTCAAGAGTACATATTAGCATGTTTGTTCAAGGAACCATATATCAACGAAGTTACCATGGTGTCGACGTGCAACCACAAAATGAACTTTAATATCTCTCACGAGCTACTAAACCTGTGAATTAAGACACTCTCAACAATATTGTACAGTACCAAGATAACACATGAATATTTATTTATTGTACATATACCCAGCTACTTTGAACAAAGCACGGCCTCCAGGCTAAGATTTGTATGCATATCTTATTAACATTAGCCCTTCGCAAACAATTACAATGCTCACAAGTAAAATAAAGGTTTCCTCTTACTGTAATGCAACTAAAAACAGATTATAACTTGTTAGCACTTTACTGCCACTATATGAATTTCTCTATTTTTATTTATTTAGTTCCAGATTGTAATGTCAAAGCCAGCAGTCTATGCAATACATATCATACATAATAAAAATCATTAGGTGAGAAAAATAAATATGCTAGGTTTAAAGGTTCGGTCTAATGTCAATATCATTTCAGAATGTATGCTTGTCAGCCAAGCGTATGTAATTGTTGGCATAAAAAATTAACAATCACGCCATGCCAACTTTCTTGAAAACAGAAGCCACCTTTCTATATATCTAAAAAATGCAATCGCTTAGTGTGCAATGTTGGAAGGCATCTACGTTAAATTGATTGGAGAAATTATCCATCACCACTAATGGCCTGCTTTTTGCTGCTTTATCCTTACTGTCTTCTTGCATGAAGCAAATCCACCCTATTCTTTTAGCATAACAGCTAGCGACTCTAGTTGCTCCAGTCGACACCAATACTGCCTATTAGCTAGAGTGCCGCATCACTGTTATCAGCAATTGTATCAAGTTAACACAACAACCCATGATTGCGCGTTGAGTACCTGCCGGAGCGGTGGCGCGAGCCTGATGCAGAACTCTCACAATGCACCCCACACGACGGGGCATGGCGCGAGGCAGCTGGAGCGGCAGTCACCGGCTCCTCGACAACATGGCCTTCGCAGCAAGTATGTGATGAAGCCCTCTCTCCAACAGAACCTGCAACTTCACCTTCATTTTCCTTCTCTTGCTCTGCTTTGGGTTCTTCTGGCAGGAACCTGATCCTTGGTGTTGGTGACAATCACTTGCTGTCCAAACCTCCTAGTACATTGCGAATCATTATCTGATCTACAAAACACACTTAGGAAAAGCAATACTACATCCAAGGATATGCACATATTGACCGATGCAGCAAAACCAAACACAAATAAATCATTGGATGGTCAAGACTCCTACATTGCATATTATCGCCCTAGTATGTAGATCTGCAGGTAGCCGATCACATGAGAACCGTGATCAAATGCAGTATACCTGGAGAAACAATAGAAGTGAAATACTTCAAAATCTAATTTGGGAAGAAGCAAGATCCTTTGCTTACATGAGAACTGTGATGATACAGTCAGCGCATCAGTTGATAGTTGCGTTGGAGATGAAGAAAAGTAAACTATCAACATCTCTTTCCAACAGGTATTACCTATCAACATCTCCATCTTTCTCACCCATTCTCTATCTCCCTCTGCTCCAGTCCAGACCCATAAATTTCCCGCAACCTCTCCATCCCCCTTTGTATCCTCCCCAGTCACCACGGGCCGCCTCCTCCGCCGTCCTGCTGGATCGTACCGTGACGCTGCCTACTGCCCAGCTTGCGGATCCTACCATGCTTAACAGTTGACTACCTGAACCTGTACAAACCTAAACTACATGTGCAAAAGACACTCGTATGCTCCTGCTAATTAATCAAGCCTAAATTCACTTGTTTGACTGGATGGATCCTCTGTTGATTCATGCGCTCCGAGATGGATGGATCAAATCCCTGGCTTCACTTGAGCACACCTGGTATCAATGAGTGGGTCACTCAACTCCACCGTCCGATGAATCTGCTCTAGCCCCTGGACGGGCCTCAGACCTTGAATTCATCGATCATACAGTGGTGTAAAACTACAATAACATCAAAAGCAACTACTGTGAGTTACTCAAATCGAACAAAAAGAGACACATATTTTTCAAAGAGAAATTAGAGGTGCTTCACATTAATCCATATAGAAAAGGAGCAGCAATTTAACAACCATATGAAGGCACCCCCCACAACTTGCTCAGGCTACTTTATAGTGTGCATTGTTCTGGAGGCCATGATCCACCCACAACAGAATCCCCGACCTTTCTTGCCCCAAAATCATACAGAATATTATGCACAGAATTATCCAAATTGCTACTAAAAGCTACCAGCCAACAGCAAGAAGAAGAAAAAGAAATTCTTAGTATTCTATATATAAGTGTTTAAACAGAACTTCTACCTGGCTTTTCAAGGGAAAAAGGGAAAAGAAAGGATGTAAGCTAGTACTTCAGCACTAAAAAGTGATGTTGCATTAGAATAGTAGGAGTACAGGAAAAAAATAGAAGAACCATCTCAATAGCAGAATTCTTCTACCATCAGAGTTCTCACAACCATCAAGATAAAAAAAACTCAGCTCGACAAACTGATTTAACTAATGCTAAATAAATTGATGATTTTCTCAAAAATTTCTCCAAGTAAACAACACACCTCTTGCAAATGTAGTTGTCGACTTGAATGGAATACTCGCAGCAGTCGACATGCCCGTTGTATTCCTGCTATGACCATTCGCCCGCCAACCTGCTGCAAGCCCACAACTGCATGGTGCTGCTCATTTGTTTGGGAGATTGCAGATGCAGCTGCAAGTCAACCTCTGCTCCAAAGTGCATGTCTGCAGCTCCATGTCGTTCCATGATGTTGACAGCATGTGCTTAGCTCAAGAGGTGGAGACATTATCAAAGAATCCTCATTTAATTATCTATGTATGCCATGATAACATAAAAAGGACATTGCATTGATGTAGGCATGAAACGAAGTGCTAGATTATACAGTTTCATATACACTTTTATGGTTTTATTCATATATCATACGGTGTGTCGACAAATGGCACTACTGTGTGAGATCAATTAATTCTGAATATGCAAGTCTAGGGCAGTACTGCCCCAGTAATAATATATGTGTAACTATGAGCTAATTTCCAGCATATTCAGTTAGCAGT